GAAGCAACTGAAAATTAATTTCTTGATTCTGGCTATAATTATAATCCGATCTGATTCAGATTCGGCAATCTGGTAGATATGGGCATTTTCTACGATACTGCGTTTTTAGTTTTATCGTATCTTTAAAACTGTGCCTGCTACAAATTTTCGTCCTTTGTGTGGGCGGAAGGGGCCGGGGCGAAATACACTTGTAGCAGTGTGATATCACAAGAGTCTGGAAACCAAATTTGGTTGCCCTAGCTCTTATAGTCTCTGAGATCTAGGCGCTCAACAAGACGGACAGACAGACATACGGACAGACAGACATGGCTATATCGACTCAGCTATTGATGCTGATCAAGAATATATATACTTTATGGGGTCGGAAACGTTTCCTTCTTTGCGTTACACACATCCACTTTTACCACAAATCTAATATACCCCTTAACTCTTTTTTGAGTACGGGTATAAAAATCAAAGGATTACAAGTGGTTATCAAAGGAATCTAACCAACAGTCCCAATCAATGAGATAATAGATGGACTAAGGGATAAGGGCTTCGAAATCAAAATGGCTAGGAACATAATAAATAGAAATAAAATTCCCCTGCCAATGTTCAAAGTAGAACTGACACCTGAAAGTTCACCTAATCTACAAGCTTCAATATTTACTGCACCGTAGGATCACCGTTGAGGATCCACACAAACGAAATGGACCCGTCCAATGCACAAATTTCCAGGAATATGGACACACGAAAACTTATTGCACTCTACGGGCAGTCTGCGTTGCCTGTGGTGATGTTCATCTCTTTGAGGCCTGCCCCGTTAATAAGGAGGACCCATCTGTCAAAAAATGTAGCAACTGTGGGGGAAACCAACTATAGGGGTTGTCCTGTCTATAAAGAATTGAAAAATCGCCTAAAACAACAAATAACTGCAGCTCGAAACCCAGTCATCCCACAAAACTTACCATATATACCATCAACTACGACTCCAGGATTTATTTTTGCTCAGGCAAAAGCTATGTTACAAACACAGCATTCCCCTGCAAATCAATTCTAATTGACTAGTGGAATTGAGACAATCCTGGAGCTTATGCGCAATCAAAATCAGTTTAAATGGTTTGTCTAAATATATCTTTCTGGAAAGCAAATGGCATTTAACAGCACAAATGTTAGCTCTTGCAACTCGCTCAACACGTCATTGCTCATATCAGAGACTCGCCTAATAAATGAAAACTATTTTCACCTCGATAGCAATAACTTCTTTGCGACAAATCACCCCGATGCACTATGGGGAAAATTCCAATTTTTCGGGTATTAATTAATAACTTTTAAACTAAGCAAGATTTTTCGATGCGGTTTTTGTATTAATGTTATATACACCCCTAGAAACATTTTTGGAAAAGAGGGCGTGTTACGGCCTACAAATTAAAAAAGAAAAAATTTTATTTTTTGATAATATTAAAAATTGGAATATCTTTATTAATATTTACTAATTGAGTATTACTTATTGAGTTTTACTTATGGAAAAACTTCATTTTGATGAAATTCAGGAGCTAAAGAAACAATAGTTAATACTAATAGAAATTTTCTTAATTTTTTCTTAATTCATCTTCGAAATCCTCAAAAGTTTCATATGGGCCTTCAATTTCACGTAATAAGAGGATTAACAAATCGATGGGAAGGGCAAGGCCTTTATGCTTGCTGCTTGAATCAACAAAGAGACATTGCTCTTGAGTTTTTGATAGAGCTGCTGCTTTTTTTTCTCCTTTTGCTCTTTCTCCTTTTAACAAGTAAGCCAACTTTGGATGACCAATTTGTCGATTATTGTTCCCATTTGAGTCCCTTTTGTATAATTTTGTTGTGCTCATTAAACAGTTTTAATGCTTTTTTTTAAAATATTTCTTGTTTCGAACTGCCTAGTGCAGTGTCTTGTGTTCGGGCTGATGGACTGCCTACTCTTTCGGCCGATCTTGGCCCTTTTATGCAGCTGGCGATCGCACCTGAGACCCGGAAATAATTAATTCTTGCTGACTTAAGGTTATTGGATAACAATAATTGTGGGGTATGGTAACTAGGTCGAAGCTTGGTGCTTCGTTGACAATTTTTAGTGGGTCAGGGTGGTTTTGCTGAGACTGCATCCCGGAAGGTGCAGTTGAGAATTGGGTATTTGGTTTCAAAATGAGTTTTTGCTGACTCTGCATCGCGGAAGTTGAGTGGTAAGTCGATAATTTTATGCTGGATTGACTTATTGTGAAATAACGCAACTTTAACAGCTGTTAGACTTAACAGTGATCTGTTATATAACATTTTTGGTATTGGACTTTACAATTTGAAGTTTTCTTAATATGTTACCAAAAAAAAACAACCAATTTTAATACTTTGAGAAAATGACTAAATACCCGGAAAATGGGAATTTTCCCCATAGTGCGATGGTAGGACCCATGGAGGTACTGGCGTTATGATCAAGCATCGCGTCAGGCATTATCCATTGCCATCATTTGCAACAACTTATCTACAGGCAAAATCAATTAATATTCAAAAACCCAGCGGCTACCTAAACCTAGCCGCAGTATACTGCCCACCGCGCTTCTGCATTTCCGACGCAGAATTTGTAAAATTCTTCTAGGTGACCTATGTATAACAGCTGGTGACTACAATGCCAAGCACATCCATTGCGGATCCCGACTTACCAACCCGAAAGGAAGACAACTATATAACGCCACGAAAAAAGCTAGACTTTATCTCTCCGGGCAAGCCTACATATTGGGCCACAGATCCAAAGAAGCATACCGGCTTGATTGATATTGCATTACACGAAGAGTGCTGCAAGCTCAGATTCATGTAGAACACTTAACAGATCTATCATCGGCCATTCTACTTCACCTTTATGACCATAAACATCTAGCAAAAACAGATTGCCGCAAATAAAGGAAGTAAATAAGTTCCCATATTGATGGCTGCCCAAACATTTATTGTACAGATGACATTGATAGCTCAGTTGAAGCATTAGTATCCGCAATCTCATTGGCTGAAAAACTCTCAGCACCAATATTAGCAGCTAATAAACTTTTCAACAGAAGTCATATTTCTAGGAACCTGCCCCGAAAAAGCGGCTAAAAATATCCAACCATCTACTAAGCAGAGCCCTAGCCCACCAACCAACAATCCCGAGGCTATTCCGCCTATCATATTCCAATCAGGAGAAGTTACAAGAGTCATTAAAGACCAAATCTCCGTCCCCGGATTTCATCTCCCCTAAAATGATCATGGAATTCACAAGTCCAAGCCATCATCATATTGGCCTATCAGTCTACTGCCTTGCCTATCACAGATACTTGAAAAGCTGCTCCTGAATTGTATCAAACAACACCTACACATCAACGAAGGAGGAGTATGTTCGGAGCAGCAGCCATTAATAGCTCTTAAGACATTCAAAGCATATCGTCACATTTATTTCTTATACGGAAGCTCTTAAGATATCTATTGTCACGCTCATTGTAAATCGCTCTCTCAGTGCATACACGCACACGAGTATATATGTACATAAGTCCCATCTTAGTGCTTATATTGCAGTGCTTCGCCCTTTGCTATGTCCTGTCGAAAATTTTGTCGAACGCATCGCATAGCTGCTAAAAAGTGCGGGCAAATATTAATTTGTGTTAAGCAATAGCTGCAGTGGCTTTCTGCTTAAATTCTATGTTGTAATAAGTAATATTATTGATTTGACAATGGGTTTGATAACTAGAATAGGTATTATATATGGTTACATGTCTAATGAAAGTTATTAAAACACATTGTTTTGAAGGGGAATAAAAAATATGAAAAGGGGACATGTATTACAGCCAAGTTTGCAAAAGTTCAAAAGTATTCGGAAGCAGGGAAAAGATTTCCACTTATATAAGAAATTTTCACGCAAACGCGATAACAATGATTGGTCTCCGATAGAAAAAACACAAAAAATAAATACTCGACGAGAGTGCACTCGAGTGTTGCGAAAGTGTGTGCATTGCTTTCGTTTTAAACTTGTTTTGCTGAACTTAATCACAGGGAATTTTCCTGCGGATAGGTTTGAAGTCGTGAGGCCTTTTCATATCTTTGGCGTACATTTTTGTGGTCCTATCAATGTCTCTTTGCGTATTCGGAGATGGTCCCCGACTAAGATGTATTTATCTATCTGTTGTGCTTTCAAATCAGTTCACCTTGAACACGTTACAAATTTCTAGACTGACTCCTTTCTTTTGGCTTACCAGCTTTATCGCACGACAAAGCGTACCGCAGCACGTTAACTCGGACAACTCGACGAGCTTCGTTGGAGCCTGGAACGAGCTGAAGAGTCTCCAGAAGGTCTTCGAGCATCAGCAGTCGAGTCTGCAAACGTTCGTCGCTGAGAGGGAAATCGAAGGGCGGTTCATCCCTCTACGAGCACCGCACTTTGGCGGTTTGTGGGAGGCGACCGTGAAGGCAGCTAAGTCAAATTGCGTCAAATTTCCGACGCTTAACACACTAAGGGCAAGGTCGGGGCTCACCTGGCAGACACCGTGGCGATGCTAAACTCTCGGCTTCTAACGCCAGTCAGCGCCGATCGCAACGAGGGAGAGGTATTAATTTCAGGGCATCTTCTAATCGGGCAGGCCCTTCGTGCCGCAAGGAGTAGACCCAGACTCTCAAGGAGGAGAGCCAGAGGCACTGGCTATGCTGCGCCCGCCAATAAAACCAATTGCTTTCTACATATCGCACTAACCGCATACTTTGATTTCGACCGTTTTTTTTTGCTTCAGCAGCTAAGCCATGATCTTTTAACTTTTCGCCAAGTTTCAAAAAATTTTACAACGCGGTTATGGTTTAAGACCTCATTTACTTTGTAAATCAATCAAGAATTAAAAAACTGGTCGTTGAAAACTCAAATGTTCTGATATCAAATTCAGCGCTCAAAAGTTTTATTTTTTATCGGATTATTTTATAATATTTTTTTTTTTCTCCGCGTAAAAAGGGCTAAACTAAAATATTTCAATACGCACCTGTTGAATATGCCATTGTTTTTGGCAGGTTAACTACATCCCGACGAAATGTAGATAAGTTTTGAGTAAACCTAAAAGTAATAAATAATATATGAAAATATATGTAAAGGCATTTATTTTCTATATATGACATCTTACGATTCATGCAACTTATAAAATATATTCCAGCAGTTTATCTCTATAGTCTTTCGCATAATGACTCATGCTAGTAAACGAACGTTAACCGAATTGGCCACTGCCAAGTAGGCAGATGACTCGATCGTGGGATCGCAGCCACCTGAACACCGGTCACCGTGTTACCAGGTTGAGAAAATAGATGTGGATCCTTCTTCTTCTGAATTCCGCCAACCCACAAATTTTCAAAGACAAGAAGCGTCCAATTCATGCCCACCTGGTACGACAATCCCTGCTAACATTCACCAGCAGGGTTCACTTAAGAGGCCGGCTGGGTGTCAGAGATTCTCTGACCTGCGCAGCCAGAGGATTAATCACCTCGGTAAGAAAGGAGGATTGGACTGAAATTGACGACAATGCCAATGCAGGGCATGAGAGTGACATAGTCATCTTTTTAGGGGAGAGTCCCTTGTCAAGCGAACAGTAGCGGGGAAAATACTAAATTTCCTGATAGATACCGAGGCTGAAAAAAAAATGTCAACAACTTCTTAAAAGAACTTAAGGAAGATGTACCGGTAGAAGCCAAATTCGTTGTTAAGTCTGTGAGAACCTATCTCTGCTTGAGGTAGGCTAAGTCCGTCCAGGATTCTTCTACAAGAAATTTGTAGATTGGCTATTGGCTGGGAGCTTTAAGTGGGGGGTTGGCGCGGCGCCATCGATGGTAGCCAACCACTTTCGATAGTGCCCGACGTACGCCCGACGTAAATACGTAGTATTTATTTCACATCACCAAAAAAAAAAATTCGCGTTTATTTGTTTTGTCTGTGTGAAAACATTTATAATTAAAATCAGTGATACAATACAGAGAAATGGACCGCTTTCTTCAAAGAGGTATAATGCTTACTTTTAAAGTAGTTATAAGTTGTTTTGACTTTGTGTCGAATTTAAGGTAAACGTCGGAGCTCCCTCACACTCAGTGTGTCCAGCGCTGAAATGCAGGCATGGGATAGCAGCAGCACGGACTCGGAGAAAGATGTGGCGACCGAGAGGCAAACACATAAGAAGAAAAATAAAATCTCACAAGTGTGGAAATATTTTAAAAGGTCTGAAGACAAAAAATTAGCAAATTGCATTAACTGCGGAAAGGAGTATAAAACCAACGGAAATACGTCCAATTTGCACGATCATCTAAAAAGATTTCATCCTGGCTTGGTTCATGTCTCAGACTCCAGCACTCCAGCTGCAGCTACTTCGAAGGATACCGACAACATCGCATCTACAAGCAGCAGTTGTAGATCAAGTATGCATTCTGTAGCTTCTTACTTTAAAAGAGCTGTTTTGTACGACACTAATTCAAAACGAAAGAACGACATTGACAGGGCTTTAACGGAAATGATTGCAAAGGATGTACAGCCTTATAATATAGTGGAAAATGAAGGCTTTGTAAACTACAGTCAGGTATTGGATCCCAGATATAAGCTCCCAAGCAAAATACATTTAAGAGATGTGCTGATGCTTAATATGTTCAAAGAAACTACTGCTAAATTGTTAGCGATACTAGAAGATATTTCGGATATATTAGTCACATGTGAATTGTGGACATCGAGGGACAACGATAGTTTTTTGACCGTCACATGTAACTTTGTTTATAATTATAATTTGAAAACAGCATCATTTGCCACAAGAAAATTATTAGACACAACAAACCATTCGGCGCAAAATATTGCAAACACTTTGCAAGATGTTTTAAATCATTGGAATGTCCTCGAAAAAACAGTTTGCATTGTTACGGACAATGCCAGCTCAATGCTGAAAGCATGTGAAATATTAAAAATTCAAAATCTTCTATGCTTTGCTCATACTCTGAATATGGTGGTTCATGATGGTTTAAAATTCGACAACGACGATTTAGTAAAAGCTTTGTTTACAAAGTGTAAGACCATAGTAAGGTTTTTTAAGCACAGCACCATATCGGGTGAAAAATTTAAAATGGCTCAAGATGAATTCTCTTATACTTTGTTACAAGAAGTACCAACAAGGTGGAACAGTTTCTACCTTATGATCCAGCGTATATTAGCAACAAATGATGCCATTTCTACAGTTTTATTATCAACTACAAAAGCACCGCTACCATTTACTGTTGAAGAAATTAATATATTAAAAGATTTAGAGAAAATTTTTGCCTTTTTCCAACAAGCAAGCGAAAAAATTTATGGTGGAAAATATGTGACGATTTCGCTTATAATACCGATGGCATATGGACTCTACCGCAAACTTGAAAATCTTCTACCACAACTACAAACTTTGCAAGGGAAAAAAATGCAAAATACTTTATTAGAGTCCATAAAAAAACGTCTTTCCATTTATGAGCAACGGTCATTAACCAGAATGGCTACAATATTGGATCCACGATTAAAAAAAAACGGTTTTCAGCATTATTCAAATACTGAACAAGCATCAACAGCTTTTGAAAACGAGCTTGTAAATTTGTCGGTCAAAGAAAACCCTGTCAATTTGAGCCCGGCAACGGAGACCAAAACTCAGGACACATTTTTTGATTTTTTGGATGAAAGACCTATAAGCAAACAAACAAACGCACGAACAGATGCAATTATTATTAAAAGACAATATCTAGAAAGAGATATAGCCGCCCAAGAAATGGATCCTCTTTTATGGATTATGGTAAACTATAATAACGAATTATCAATACTCAAAAAATATATATGTATTTATATTAAATTATATTTCAGGTCAACCAAACGGATTTTCCCTTGCTGAAAAGGCTATTCTTAAAATACTTGTGCATCTCCGCAACATCCGTTGAGTCCGAAAGAGTATTTGGCAAGGCGGGCCAAATTGTTTCAGAGAGGCGAACCGGGCTCAAAGAAGAAAACGTGAACATACTTTTATTCTTAAACCAAAACTTTTGGATAACAAAATATTAATATATTATATGGATTTTCTTGTTTATAATTTAAGCAAACTTTAATACTAACCAAATATGTATGGATTTTCATATTTAAAATTTAAACAAACTTGAAACTTTATATACATACCAAATTATAGAAAAAAGGAAGAAAGAACTACTACTACAAATCAAATATGTATATTATTGTGGGCCCTTCCACTATCGTCGACTATCGATGGCACTATCGTCCACTATCGATGGTTGTGAAAGTACTATCGTCCACTATCGATGGTTGTGAAAGTACTATCGTCGACTATCGATGGCGCCGACTATCGATAGTTCTCCACCTCTACTGTGGTGCTGTAGAAGTAATTATTCGGGAGAAAAATGAAGACGCAGGTGGGTTGGTTTTGGTTCTTTAGCTTGCTCGTGCTCCTGCTCGTGTGCCTGTCAACCCATTTTTCTCTATGGGCCTCATTTTGGCATGGACTCTGTGACGCTCGAAATAAAACTTGGCTTTTAATGCGGTCTCGTAAACAGAATCGATTTGCTGCCAGCACAGAAATATACCCACCCTCCCCACGACTAATGAGCCCCATTCTAGGAGCAGGGGACCCCATGCTCCGCCCTTTAATAGTGAACGAGCTGAAGTGTTAACCTTTTGTGGGACCCAATGGCTGACACACGAGCTCCAGCTCGAGTCGAACCCTTCCTCTGGTGTCTGCCCGAGCCTCTGTTCCTTTTCCGGTCAGCAGTCAGTGCGTTTCGGGCTTATTGCTGTAAGCCAAGCCCTATTGTTGCAAATTTTCTTCTATGCGTTTTGAGTAGGTTGGGTAAAAATCGTTCAATTTACTGAACATTTACTGAACGTTTGTTTATTTTTATTCAGTGAACTAAGTCGTTCTTTTAGTTCGTTCTTTTTTGTAAGTGTGTGTACAAAATGTACTACAATTTTAATTTTTACTTGGTAATTGATCTCGTTTTAACAGTTTAAATTTTTTATGTACATACATAGATGACATCAGTGCCTGTTCTCCATTATAATTTCAAAAGCTATAAAATACACACCTCGCTGTGCCCACCAGATCAAAGGGTCTTGCTTTCTATTCAGGTACTCCTCCACTAGGTATCTAGCACTATCATGGCATCATCCAACAACACGAATGCTTTTTACCTTGGTTGAACTGCTTGTCATACTCGTCCCAAATGAACCTTTTTATTGGTGAAGTTTGGCCTGTTTCGATTTTGGATGATCTGACATCCAAAGCAATATTTTTAACCAATCTTGTTTGAGCGATTTTACCTTTTCGAGCTGCAACTAACTACTTTCTCAAAGCATTCTTCGGATTTAAAACCACGCTATTTTAATCTGGGTTCTATTATGGTGCTTTCCGCAACAACATAATATGAAAAAGTGGTTTCATACCAGCTCAAAAATAGCGAGCAAAATGAACCTAGAAAAAACAAACAGAGCTGCCATATCGGCTCAAACATAGCGAAGAAAACGAAGAAAACAGAACGATGATCAAAAAAGAACGAACGAACGAGAAGGAACGTGTGAGTCGCTTCAGGGGACGAGACTCTACTTATACCCGTACTCAGTAGGTATATACATGTTTGAGCTTATGATTTTTTAGAATTAAAAAAAAAAAAGAGGGCGGGGCGAAATTTTGAAATACACTTGTAGCAGTGAGATATCACATGAGTCTGGAAACCAAATTTGGTTGCCCTAGCTCTTATAGTCTCTGAGATCTAGCCGACAAACAACACGGACAGACGGACAAACAGACATGGCTCTATCGACTCGGCTATTGATGCTGATCAAGAATATATCTACTTTATGGTGTCGAAAACGTTTCCTTCTCTGCGTTACACACATCCACTTTTACCAAAAATCTAAAATACCCCTTAACTCTTTTTTGAGTACGGGTATAAAAAGATCGATGAAAAAAAAAGAACGACCGAAAAAGAACGAACAAAAAAGAACGAACGAAAAAGAACGACTAGAACAATTAGAACGATTCGTTTCAGTGAATATTTTTTTTTGTT